AATCATTCTATCTCATACACGACCGCGATTGTGAAGGAATAAACTTTTCTAAATTGTAAGCGTGTTGACTCCATTACACGGAATCCAGAAATAATAATTGAAAGCATATTTACAAGTCATTGTCACAGAATGTTGTAATAGAGATCATTTATTGCTAGCAGACATTCTCGTCCAACAACATCGACTACATTATCCATATCATAGCGAAGACATATCTTTTTTTTAGTTTGCGTTGCGTTTTTTCCTTTAGAAATAAAAAAAGCATTAAACGGAAAATATTGCTTGTTTCGCTCCACATTGACAGCGTCGCCAAATAAAAATACCGAATATAAAGTAACAAACGGCAGTTTAAAATACGCAGGGAAACACAATCTCTTAGAAAAACACACGTGGTGAAGATGTTGAGTGAAGACTATTTCAAACACTCCCTGTTAACGAAATTTACTCGCGATATATGAAATTACCATTCGGCCAAATATTTTCGAACAGTGAAAATTTCTCGAATGTCTCTCTCCGCTAGCAAAGTTACAAAAATCAAAACGCTCGAATTTCGTCGCGAACTTGTGGCGAGACTCGTTGGCTCTCTGCTATGTATTTCTCATCGTGCTAGTCGGCGCTCGTTTGTTCGTCGTTGTTGGTCGAGTGCCACTTCAAGGGACGTGTTATTCACGGCTACGCGAAGAGAAAGAAACGCTTTATGATTCTCGACTCGTCGTTGGCCCTTTTCTTCCGGGGTCCCAGGCGGCCGCTCCACTTCCCCAGTTTCCAACCCGTGAAACCTTCTCCCCCAAGTTCTTGGCAAACGCTCGTGACCGACCAACGAAACAGCTGTTCCCCGGTAGATAACGAGTGTACAACGGCATGTTATCCCACCGACGTGTTATTACAGAGACGATTTCCATCCGCGATCCCGCGATTCCCGGGCTCGTTATCGTGCTGTTCGCGAGACAGTGCGAGGTAAACGATTCGACGAGAATTGCCCGGCAATTTTACTCCTCGGTGAAACGGTGTTTCGGTGACAGAGCAATTTTTAACGCGCGAAAAAGCTGCACATTCTCTCAGAGAAATAGTTTTTTAATTTCGTTGATAGAAACTATCATTGCTGAAACTTCGTTGTGCCTCGAAGAGATGATTCTATATTACGCAGGATCTTCCATTATTGCCAAGATATGTATTCCTGATTCAACTGTTTAACAAGATGACTCTGTCTTTTCAGAATATTTCTCCCTGCAATTGAGCTTAATTAACGAGGGAAAATTTTACGAACAGTCACGAATCACCAGGCTAACCGTGACTGCCAATAAACTCTGCATGACTATGAAAACTTCACGAGTCGTCAGTTGCCAACTATAGAAATCTATATTCCACGATTGGTCACTCTCCACCTGTCGATCAGTCACTATGTAGAAAAATGCGTAGAAAAGCACGCGAGTAGTAGATTCCGTAAGAGTAAAACAACCTCTGCTCTAGAAGCGTGGAAACTCGGTTTCACGAAAGCACTTTCTCCGTTTTGCTTTTACTTCCCCCCCCCCCCCCCTTTTGCCGGACGCGCGCTTAATGGGAATTATAAAATAAATCGGGGAACGAGCAGCGAGATTCTAATCACAATAGGAGGTACACGCGTAATTTGCGCCGCGATACGAAAATAATGTACTACGGCCGTACAATTAAGCAACGCCGGCCTCGTAATTACTTATCGTTAATTAAATCAGCCACGGCGTTATCTCTCACGAGCCTTCGTGCATTCCGCGATCCCTTCAACCAAAGAGTGGCTCTCTTTCCTCGTGCAAACTAGACCCATCTAGCTCTAGCTCCGTGGAGTCGAGTGCATGCTGCCTATACGTAGTATACCAGAGATCTTGTAATCGGGAAACGTGCGCTCGTGGAATCACAAGACGGAAACAACAAGTCATCGTTCCTGTTTTCAGCAACCTCGCCGGGCGATCTCGTCGGCCTTTAAAACATCCACTCTACGCTCTTAACCCATTCTACATCGAGCTGTTAAATACGTACAAGTTGCACAAGCGCAACGTTGTTTCCTCTGTTGTTACAGAAATGCGTGCGTTTACATGCAAGAGTCGATGGTACGAGAAGAATATATTCCTGTAATTTGCAAGAGCGGTTCAATCGATCCGCTTTTGGATTTCGTAAAATTGTTCAATGATACGAAGTGGCGAGTGGAGAAAATTAATTAAACGTCGCGCTAATGCAATGTTCGTTTCTGATGAATTAACAGTAGAACTATCAAAGTGATGAAAAAAATGACCAATTTATAATTTTTGTTAGATATTTCATAGACGCAATAACAGTATATTTTTGAAGATTTAAATAATCTTTCGTATAAGTGTATAAATGAAAGCTCCATTGTATTATAAAGTTTCTCTATTTCTTTCATTTTAACGTCTCCGATGGGAATTTTATGCTTCAATCATTGGCAGTTCTAGCTCCACGAGAAACGAATTTCACTCCTACTACGATCCATTTGTACGGTAAATGATTTTCCATATATTAAAGTCAATGCAAGTTCGATTAAAAAAAAAAAAGACCAGCTATTTCAACTTTTACAGCATCTGCAATTTATTGACATGCTCCTACGCGCAATTTCAGCTTAAACGCGCTCTCAGGTTTCTTTTATTATTGGTTATCAAAGTTTCAAACCCTTTCCCGCAAAATGGTTCTCGGTGCACGGGATCGAGCCAGTTCCTAAGTAAATACTAGCCATACACAAGGCATACCATACCTCGTTCACTCGGATTTTTCCAGCTGCCAACGAGACGAGAGGCCCGGCAGCGGATTTCACAGCGCGCGCGATAGGATTAAATTCATTTTCGATCTTGCGTTCGAGAGGCGTGAGCGCGCGAGTGTCCTAGCAGCGGCTTACGTCACACAACAAAAGTAGGATAATGACAGAGTAAAGCGCCACGGCCGCGGAATGATTTGAATTTTCCCAAGCGCACTCTGTTGCGCAACGCTGCTCGACGGGCGGGTCCGATCGTTTTCAAATAGCCAGACACTTGCTCGCGTTCGATTACAGAGGAGGACTATGATAAGTCTATTTTCGTTGACTCACCGATTTTTAGACAGAGTTTTAAGAGCTGGCTGTGTTGTTTGAACTTAATTAAAATTAGTCTGCATTTATTAGTATTTCTTCGACGTCCAAGAGGGTATCAAAACAACAAACAATTCGTAGATTCCAAACGGAAATCGAATCAAGTTTCCGATAATCGTAGCAAAGACTCGAGAAAGAAGAAAACCAGTAGAAAGAAGCGGCAACGCAGTGAGAGTAGAAAGCGAGAAAGAAACGTTAGGAAATCAACGTCGGTGGTCGAGAGATCGAGGCAAATCGAGCGTGCGAATATTTTCACGTTGACGGGATTACGGTTCGGGCATGGGTAACGGAACTGGGACGTGACAAAGAGGATCACCGATTCTTCGATTCTCAGCGATCGTTTCTTTTTTTCTTTTTTTTTTTTTCTTCTTTTTTATTCTTCCCTGTTTTGCGATCGTTCTGTTGTCTGTTGTGGATCGGCTGTGAATCGACAGAAGGAGGCACACACCGTATGTCGTGAACGAGCGTGGCGCGTAATGCAATTTGACGTGATTACTCTTCACCGTATGTACGTAAGTTCCCGCGCCGCTTTCTTCCACCGGTCGTGTGTGTCTACGCGTTCTACACGGTGCTTAAGTCGATCGGACACGCCTCGAGGTTTGACGCGGACCGACAGAACCGCGAGAGGACTAGAGAGAGCAGTCTAAGCTTGTCCGATTTCACCGATCGTTCTGGATTATTCGCCGGTAAGAAGCAACGGGACAGAAGAAAACGTACCAAGGCTGTCGGCGTGCTAGGACGCGAGATGCGTGGCGTGAAACGTGCTAAAGCGGACTCAAGTCAAGAACTGCCGGCACGTCGAGCCTCGATTAATTGCTCCGGCGTGTGTGTATCCAACGGAGATCCTCGATATGTTGCACACTTCCTGTCGTTGAACACTGAATCGGTTTCAAGAGAAAGAGAGAGAGAGAGAGAGAGAGAGAGAGAGAGACGCGTGTTCTTGCAAAGAGTTTCTTGCGCGTGAATTACGTGTGCGTTACACGAAGCCTGTCGAAGCTAAGAAATCGAGCCACGAGTCTGATTAATCGCTTTCGAGTCGTCCACCGTCCATCGCGTGCTCTTCCTCGAAATTTTCCCGAGGAACTTTTTCGAAAGTGGCGCGGCATTTTTTCAAGAACCCGTATCGATAAACTTGTCACGGCCAGGTATCGTGATCTTTTGATTCATTTAAACCATCCGCGCGGCCCATTCAGAAAACCATTCACGTACGCACCTGTACGGGTTATCCACGTCGTCACGTGGCTCGCAAGAAATATCAATCGTGAGCGCGATGAAGCCACGCATTTATCGAAAGAGAGAGAGAGAGAGAGAGAGAGAGAGATCGCTTCGCGTAGTTGCACACACTCGATTAAGAGTTACGCAACCTGTGTACGCACATTACGCCCGCCATTTTCTGTGCGTCTTGGCACATGTCAAGATCTCCACCAATTTGATCGCTGACAGTGTAATTCAAGATGTTAATTAACCATTAATGCTAGTCGACGGAATGAAGGTAATTAAGCGCTGAGGTCTTGAGGATTTATTATGAGGGAACGACGAATTTACTTGATGTTTTAACGAGTCAATCGTTTGTTATCTTTCAGTTTCTCTTTTGTGAAACGTAACTCTCAAGGTTGATTTCTGAAGCGTGATCATTGCACAAATGTGTAACGTGCGCGTCGTATCGTAAGAGTTGATGACACGTCTGAAAGCCAAATTCGATGGGTGGTTAATCTCTCTCTCTCTCTCTCTCTCTCTCTCTCTCTCTCTCTCTCTCTCTCTTTCTCTCTCCCTCTTTCTGTCTCTGTATTTATCCGTAGAAAATCATAAGTCAGAGAGTCGTGATGTGCCTATGCTCGCTCGGTTATGTAACGCGATAATGCTTGCGTTCTGCGTAATTGCAATGTCCTATATTCGGACCCATCGCCATCCTTTCCATCGCCGCCTCTTTTCTCGCTCGTACAGTTGTGGATTATTGAAACGCAGATCCCACGAGAAACCCGTCAGTCTCGCAGTCTTTCAATGAAGACACTGTTCCTATTCATACACTCGCCGTTCAATGTTCAACTAATCAGCTTTCTGAGCAGTAAGAAATTTTTCTCTGATATAATTAACCCGTCCCGATCTTACATTATCAAATGCACGGAACGTCTAAACGAAAATTATTCCACGATATTTTCCAAGCTCGCGACAGAACGTCGTGAAAATTATTCACCCAATTATTCACTTGTCTCTTCAGCTCTGATAAAGCATCGTAATCACAAAATTTATCTTACCGTTCGCCCAAAGACACGAGTGCCCATAAATTTTGCAAATCGTGGCGCAGTGGTTTAACCAGACGTTTATCGGCGTAATACTCGGCGAGTGAGTTTTACGCGAGCTGGCTAATTGAATTGAAGAGCTCAGCTCGACGACGGTTGAAATTGAGAAACACACCGCCGCCGCCGCCGCCGCCGCCAGTCACGAACACGCTCGACACAGCTAGTCACGACCTCGTAACTATTTCACTCGACCGAGTATCTCTGGTGTCGGCTTGTACGCCGCGTTCTCGTTGTTCCAGCTAATTGGTACAAATTAAAAGTGGATCGATTTCACGTGATCCCCGTGAGCGCGAACAGCCCAACAGGGATAAATGAAGGTTCAAGGACCTCTGGATTCTCGCAGGATGTTGAATAAACGTAGCGCTCATTGTCAGGTTTATTCAACCTGACGGCGCAAGCCACCAACACGCTCGCCGCGATATCGATTGTCGCTCGTAAAACAGGATTTTAAACGACACCGAACGCGTCGACTTCGGTAATGGATATCTTCGGCCGCGAATTTTCTCGCGGAATAAACAGTAACGGAGCGTGTAGCGAAACACCGAAGCGAATGACGTGAATCGATAATCGCGAGAGGTACTGAGTGAATTAAATTGATTCTCAACGAGAAATCGTTTGAAGTCTCTCCCCTACACCGCGAAACGACTTTAATTATGCCACGGTTGAACGGCACCTTTGCACCTGAGGAGCATCGTAAGACTATCAATAAAATTAGCGATCAGTGATAATAAATTCTTTTCAGAAATGGTTGAAGGAACTTTGACGATAAAACATGTGATATCTCTCAAAGTCAAAATTTTCAGTGCTACGAAATAACCAATCGTTCCATTTGATGAAAAAGAGAAGTATATAACTACAATTTTTGCTAGTATCGTTAACAAATTATTGTCCGAAAGAAACCAAAATTTGTATCTTCAAAATTTTGCTGACAATACAGATTATAATGCATTCAAATTTAAAAAGAAAAAAATATGTTACAGGTCTTGATGTCAGAAAAATTATAACACCCCGAGCTAAAACTTACTTCGATCATTAATCTTGTAAAATCTTATAATGGAATCAATCGATAATTTTAATAAATACTTTCTTCTCTTTTCTTTTTTGTGCCAAAGAGATCTCGTCTGAACGGACCAGTTAATGACGGAGGATCCAATATTATTGATGGTCCAGCAAATATTCGAAATATTCGAATATACTCGCAGCGTTCGCGCAGCTTGTAAATCGGTTTGTCACTCAATAATGATTGACGGAAGAACATGGCGCAATTTTAGGTCTGCCGTCAACGTCGTACCCTCGTAATTCGACTTGTTAAACGGATCCATTAAGAAGACATGGGTGCCATTAACGACTCGGCGCTCCCTTTTCGAGGGAACGAGTTCGTGAATCCTAGAGCTATTATATATTCTTACCACCGGAATATTTAAATAAATGCGACGATAATAAATGAAAGGCAGTGATGCTACTTTTCTGATTCGATTTTTGTAGCATACCCGTAGCCCGCCAGTTTCATTCTTTCAACTGCCATTAGAGTGATTGAACCAGGGAAGAAAGAGCATTGTACTTTTACTAAGCACGACATCACATAATACATATACGTGAACGTACAAACTTTTGATAATGAACTTTTGCCTTTTCGATCACATCAAAGCGACTTGACGCTCAAACAAACAAATCCGAATGTTCTCTTATCTACAAATTTCTTTTCAACTATAGAGTACCCAGAGTTACCAATGATCAAATAACCAATTCGTGATTTTTCAAAGGAATCTGACAAGTTTAGAACGATTCCTAGAGATTTCAGTTCCAACGATTTCTCTATTGTACTGCAATCTGTTTTTTCTACTTCTTACACTTTCATCTCGACGACCTAAGTTCGCGGAGCTAGGTTCTTCCCGCTCTTCTTCCAGCAAACATTCCCAGAGGTTGAAAAGAAGAGAGGACAAACAAGCCAGCGCACGCTCTGTCGTCGAAGGATCGAGCTCGTCGCGAAAGTCACGCAACCATCTCCTCGTGGAACCATCTTCTCGGACGCGATTCTTCAAGGACACGTTTCCGGCATTACCAGCGCCACGTGACTCGGCCGAACCATTCCTCAGCCAGAATATTACGCGTCGGTCAGAGATAATTAACTCCGGAACGGGTGGACGAGCGAGTCGAGTCGTCGTAAGAGCGGGTCATCGCGTGTCGCCGACGAGTAAAAGCAGTTTCATGTTTCTCAAGGATGCAACCACGCATTATCGATCCTCGGGACAAACGCACCGCGAGTGGCTTGGACGCGCGGAAAAATGACGCGCGGGACGATGACAAGGCAGAAGCCTTACGGGAACCAAACACACAGCGCGGAGAATTGGCGATTTTTCGCGAGGAACGTTTAGGAACGTCCTTTCCTCCAGCGAGTATCGTAAATTTCACGGGGCGCATTAAGGGTGTACGCGCGTCGTGTTTCGTCGATTCTACACGGCTGATTTACGAAACAAATTCCGCGCTCGGTTAGCCACGCTCGGGGCCTGCCGGCCGATTATGAAACACGACCGAGACTAGGAAGACGAAGCACCTCCGGATCGGCCGGCTGAAAGGGCATTAATCCTTCGGCAAATTCTCCACCGGCGATTACACGCTCGCGGAACACGCCCCGCGCCCCGCGTGCACGCGTTACACATCAATCCAAGTCTCGTCGCATCGCTGCCCCCTTCTTCATCGTTGACTCTGGCCGATAACACGAACTGGAAGGCGGAAAACACGAAATTGCTCTCGCGTTTCTCGTGTTTCCGCGACGACTCTGCGCGTGTTCTCTGTGTTCACCGATGCTCTGGTTATCGATCGTCGATCTATCTGTCTGTCAGTCTATTAATCCCTCGCCCTCTGACGAATTTCATGACGTACGAGCAATTCCGGTGGAATTGTACGAAACGGTTGGAACGGAATTTTTTATTTTCTTCTCTACTTTCATTGATACCACGAATTTCGTTCCGTGAGGAGGAACGAAGTAACAAATGTCATATCGATGAAAACGAAATCTAACAAGAGTGCCCGTGTTATTATAGTTGTTAAAACAGTATCGAAAAGGTACGAGAGATCGAAAGCTGCTTTGATCAATATCGGATTCAAAGAGAGAGATGTGTGAACAAGTGATTCACGTAACATGCACACTTGAAATAACTTTTAAATTACGCGCCTAATGAAATAAGTTGTTTACTGCAAAAGTTGCAGTGGTTTGGGTTAGGTAAGGGAGGCAAAATATAGCGTATCAATTTTTAGTGTGCGTTGAGGGGTTTTCGAAATTTTCTTTATTTTTTTTAATTGGAAAAATATTAAATTCCAAATAAAAAAAAAAAGACGTGTCAAGACACATTGGTCCTAAACCTAATGGTTAAGGAGATATTTAACGATCTTGATCCGACTTTCAAAATCAACAATTTGCAGCAGCTCTCGCGAAAACAAAAATCAAATAGATATTTCATATCGTCAATCACGTGGCAGCAATTTCATCGTAAAGATGCATCTGAATTAAATGAAAATCGAGTTGAGCGAGCGTTTCTAAAGAGCCACGTGCCCTGATTCGCATACAGAGCAAACGCTAAATGGCGACATAACGGAGAGCGTTAATATTAGAGGTGTCGTTAAATCTGACGACCCAACCCGCTTTCCATTACCGTACGGCGTATGGCGTATGGCGGCCCATTCAACCGCGGCCGCGTTACAAAAGCCGTCTACCAATATTTTCGCGAGTTAACCAAACAGCGCAACCCGCCGCCGCCGCCGCCGCCGCCGCCGCCGTACTTTCGATAATTTCTGCTGGGATTAACCGGTTGAAAATTTTAGCCGCGCGCGAAACTCGTTCGGATCGGAACACATATCGGAATTTCTATCTCGCCTGCATCCACAAGCTCGCCCCATATCCCGTTAACGATTCAAATCCGCGAGACGCATAATTATTGACAGCGTGGCTCTACCCGCGATAGCGCGTGTTCCGATGCGCATAACGCGACGATGCATCATCGATGCAAATGATCGAATTACGCAAGATCGTTTCTCATGCGGGGAGTACCAACTAGTTGAGCCATTGTGAACATTATCGTTGGATCTCGGCGGCGAGAGATGGTTGCACGGACGAAGAATCGCTCCACGTTCCTCGTTTGTCTCTGCCCAACCTTTGAAAGGAACACCGATTGATCGTAAATCGCTTACGTTCGCCAGCGAACCTGTCCTGTTGGTCCATTTCGATACTTTGCGTCGACGGTGGCGTCGATTCTTTCGTCCAAATTGGCCCAAATTTCGAAAACAGCCCGATACTTGGGAATACTGGGAAAGATTGGAATTTGATTTGAGCCAGCGCGTGGTTTTACGGCTGTGGATCGATGTCGGAGCGCCGAGTTATCTCGGATCAGAGTTATTCTCTTCTGGATTAATATGCATACAAATCGATACGAGTGAGATTGATACTCTGTTGGGAATACTATGGAGCTCGATGGCAACTGTTGTTTTTAGTATTCGTAAACAAGATGGCAACTCTTGTTTTTAGTATTCGTGAACAAGATATTTCTTCGTTGATCCAAAGATTCTGATCAGATAAATTCACAGATCGATGATGGACCACCACTTGACCCGTAAACCAGAAATACGCGAGAAGAGGTATCTCTCGTGCGTGATAGCCTCGGCTATAATTCCAACTCGTGGCATCAAAGCCAAACAAATTGACGAGTCATTAAATGCGAAATATCATTTGCAAGAGCGCGCGCGTAACTCGAGAACGAAGGCTAATAGAAATTCACCTCGCGTTGTTGCTATCATCTTTCGAATGCATAATTAGAGATAATTGCTCGAGTCATAATAGCCGATGAAGTCGTCGCGTGTTACGCTTTAACAGGCGTCGAACGTCAGACGACGATGGAAGCGAATTGAACAACGAAAATTTTGCTCGCGGTGACGCAGGTGGGATTCTCGATCGAAAACGTAACTCGTGCTTGGCGTGGCAACTGAGACACGACAAGTTTCGTTTCATTAATTAATTATAGGAACTCGACGCAGCACGCGAGCATGCTCGTTATCGAATCATCGCTCATCATAGTGCTCGACCTAACGAAACATTCGTGACTTCCTTTGTCAAAGTCGAACATCATTTAGAAGTATTTAAAAATAGTTTTTTTCTTTTGTTTTCAATTTTTTAACCGATCATTCAATTTTGACTAGAAACTTTGGAAAATTTAAGAGTGGCAGATTGAAGAAGACAAAAATTTCATATACTTTCTTCTCTACCATGTGATTTCTGTACGAACGAAAAATTTTAAAGAGAACGCCTGGTAGCAAATTTTACACGTTGTGTCTAATTATTTAGACGTTACAGAATACATTTAGCGCTTCCTTTTACGAACTCTGTTCACTTGAAACTGCGAATACAGCGTGAAATCGTTAAAATTTCCGTCCAAGCGATACCAAGGGAACGGTCGTGCACGGCCTTGGGATTATCGCACCGGTAAAAATATATGCGGCATTGTAAAGTGTTATTCGTAAGTGGGGCAGCTGTTACACCGGCTACTCGTCGTCGCTTCGACGCTAAAACGCGCGTAAGCGAGTCGCACGGAAACACTTGTGTTTTTCAATGAAACGACCATGAACATTCCGTGAAAGCTTTTCGCACTCGAATGTCTCAACTGACGAGTATCTGTCTGAGAAACGATCGACGTATCCAAAATTATAACATTTGGATACATGTGCTTCGCGATGAAATTAAGGTTCACGCGGTACGCGAGAAACGTGCGTGCGACTGTAAACGAATTTAAACAAGCCTCTTCAAGACGTCTTACTTCGAGCATCCAACTATAGTAACGAGCATCTCCTTGGAGCGTGGTGCAGCGCGTGCTTTCAGTAAAAGCACGTCTGATCTTCAATCTAGGAGTGTGTCTCACCTCCGTCCGCGTCTAACTAAAAGGGGAAACCACGGAGCGAGAACGCGTTGTGATTATCTAAACAGCGAGATCTGGAAAGATAGAGGCTCGTGTCCCTGCCTGAGGCACGAGGATTTTGCGAGCTAAATCCAGCGTTCTTCGCACTTTTAAGATTTATCGGATCTCGATCCGATGAAAACGGTGTTCCTCTTGTTGCAGCGAAAGAAACCAAACAAACCGACCGCCAAACAATCACACACAGAGTGTACAATATCGCAAAGTTTTCTCCACGATTCTGGAAAAGAGAGATTGCTTCTCTCTAAATTCAATATTTGAGAATGGTTGCCACCGGTTGCTCGGTCAACTTGACCAACACGGTGAGCTATCCTCCGTCGTGTGGACTTGCAGAGTACACAAGATTCGAATGGAGAGCCCGGAGAAGAAATATTTTGCCTGCGGAGACTCGAGTGTTTCGATCACACTCGACTTCTTGTATAGCGTGTAAATTTATTTTCTCTCGCGATGAAATTTGTATTTCCTTCATTCCTCGCTATTCTGCAGTCGATCTTCCTTTGCAAATTTAGATTCATCTATGTCCTATATGCAAATTCTTATGATCGTAGCAAAGTTATCTTTATAAATTTTGCTCTTGCTGTAATTTCTGTTTACCGAACAAAATTGCTACGATTCGTCTCGACGAAGCACCAAGGCGTTTCCTGAAATTCGTCTGTCGAATTTCTTCGATCTTCGCAAGATTGCCTCTGGTCGTTAATCACGTGAATTCGTGTTCTTCGTATGTATTTTGCAACAGCTTACCACAACTTTCCGTACGTTACAACGGTGGTGTAATGTACCATCGATCGCTCGGAAGAGTAAAATGCACCTCGACGAGAAAAAACAAACAGGGGGTTGAAAGGCGGCGGGCAACACATGGTAAATTTTCGATCGACCACGAGGGTCAACGATTGGTCGATCAAGTTCAGCAGCCAGTTAACCGACGGTTAGCCTGCTGTCCTGCGTCCGACTAACGACTTAATGACGGGAATTCGCCACTTACGGGGCTCCTCCTTTTCTCCTCTTTCGTCGTCCATCGTCTTTCTCCTCTGGTTCGTTCGTGGGGCGAGCAGCGTCGGCGTAAAACGATCCCCAGCCAACCGAGGTCAGGCAACAATGTCGAAAATTGGACGGAGTCTCAAACGGGGATGTCTATTAACCTCCGGTGTACCATGCATCGTGCAATTACGACGGAAGGAAGGAATGAATTCGAGTCGACAAATCGTGCGGCACGCCGGTCAATCCTTTCGCGTTAAATGAGTCTGAGATTTCTTCGTTTCGTCGGAACGAAACGCGATATCAAAAGTCGTAGGAAAACGCGCTCGTAAATCGATTGCCTTCTCGCAATCTCGTTGCGCGAGTCGTTGATAAGGATCGATGGATCGCTTCCACCGTGAATCTTGCAATCTTCTTCACAGACAAGTTCTCGTTCATGTTAAAAAAATCACGACGATTCGTCGAAATTAAGTAAGCTTCGAACGTTATTGGAAATAAGTCGATTTAGATGTTACAAAGATTGTAAAATTTATGGTAATAGAATTAAATTTTTACTCGATTTGTATCGTCATCGAGACTTCTCTGAACTTTCTTTCAAATTTATGCGAAATTATTTTTCAATAAAGTTTAAATTGTTTTCCCAAATTCCGCAGCGTCTAATATCGCGTGGCCTGATGCTCACGAACAGGGATCTACGCGATCGTTCGGATGGATTTACACATAGACGCAAAACGCACCGTTCAAGACGTAACGTAGGAAGCTCAAGTAAGTTAAATAACACGGCTGACAGTAGATTACTTGATGGACGCGAAACAAGATCTCGTTTAATTCAGACAAGACCTCATTGAATTTGCGCCGGATTATCTTAGACTGTAACAAGATTCCATTGAGACTGAATGGGTACCCCATTAAATAATATTAAACTGCCGTTGAATCGAAAGAAAAATATATGTCAGTTCGTCCAATGGATCACCGTCAATTGTATCGAATCGAATTTTACGTATTTGATCAGTCGTCCGGATAACTTCGGTGGCAGCCTCGATAGAGATCGACGAGTTCCTCCTCCCATGGATCGAGGAATCCTCTCTCTCTCTCTCTCTCTCTGTTCGTACGTTTCTATAGGTGGCTTCCCTTCTCGGAATAATAGCCGATGGCCCCTCGATTGTGCCTCATAATACTAGGAAATTACATTACGACCAGAAGCTACTGTCTCGCGAATAATTGTTATGCACCAGCGACGCAACAGTGACGTAGCATTCGCCTCGAGTGAATTCCACTCGACGTCTGTCCTCGATAATCGTCGGTTACTCGTCGCTCTGTACGAACGACGAACGTTCTCCTGGCATTCAGCTTCAGCCCCGTTTTATCCGTTTCCAATTAAAGGACTTCAAAGAAACGGTTCAAATCGCTAAGCCTTTCGCGAGCGATTTCCCCCGTCGATAAAGGGAGTATCTACTACCTGGAGTATCTACTCCGCGCGACCGTTTCTCCGCTTCGAGGCAAGAATTCGTCCAGCAGACAGAAATGTGACACTTTGTCTTGAATTCATTGATTCATTCGCGACGCCGAATCGCTCCACGTTTTATCATATACTAGATCTACGCGATTTATGCTACTTGAAAACGGAAAGAATAATCGATCTACAAACAAAATCTTCTTCGAAATCTTCCTTCTCTGTTTCTCTATCTCTTCTCTGACATGCCGAATATTCCTCCTAGCTGATTGGCTAGAGTGAATTCCTTGAATTTACCATCGTTTTTTCTCTTCTTTTTTTTCGAACGTTAGCTAAAGTGGGCGAGAGAGAGGCTTTGCGTGCATTTGACAGGAAACATGCTGAGCCAAGCTTTACGTAATGGAAACTGGCTTCATCCTCGCTTCTTTTCTGCTCGTTCTGGCGAGCCCACTCGGTCAGAAAACACGCAGGTGACGACTCCTCCGAAGGACCGTCCTCCTCTCCGAGTATTGTCGGAGTTCGTGGCTTTTCTTCGTTTCTATCGTCGGGACACCGTCGGTCGCCAGTGTGTTACGCTATCTGCGGCCTGTTTTCCCTTCGTCGCCGCAGAAAAACGATTCAGAAGGAAGCTCGATACTCGGGCAAACAGCCTCGCGATATCGAATTTCACGTATATCGCGAGTCGATGCCATCACTGCAGAATGGACGTGAGTGCTCTTTCCATAGATAGCCCCTCTCTTTCTCTATCTCTCTCTTTCTCTTCTGTAGTTCAACTATACTACCCAGTATCATGATTGTGCGTTTGTAAAATAGTGGTTAGCACGTCGATAGGTGACGGACTTTCGCGTCATTCGCGATTTCAATTCTTTCAATGCGTTTGTTTAAAACACATTCATATCATACTATATTGTCAGGGAAACAGATATTGAAAATTCTTATTTTAATGAAGGTTTAAAACAAAAAGAGAGAAAAAAAGAATAGCAGAATTCTTACATTTTACACTTTAGTTTGTATATGAAATAATAACCTTTCCTACTACGCATTGCCAGAAACTTTAGCTTTCGTTAACCTGTTTGACGTCATAAAAGTGTTTATTGTACCATTTTAAAAGAAATATATTTGGTATTTATTTATGGTCAAGTACCTTTCCTGAAATACAATATATTTTATTACTTTATTTCATTTAACTTTTCCGAGGGAGAAATTTTGTAAGGTACCTTTACGTTTGAGGAAATGTTTTGAATCTTACCATGTGAAAAAAAAATCATTACATGTATATGTTTAAAAACATTTTTTTTTTCTTTTAGTACACAAATCTTTAGAACCTCTTCGTAATAATATAATAAAGTTGCTTCAATTTCTCATCCTCATTCTACAGTGTTAACTGTATCTTAATTTAATCACACCTTCTATAAATTCTTAATAATCTTCGACCATCATTCACCCGTGCCATTCACCCAACGAGAATCGATGCATAATCAATCCATCCACTAATTTCATCCCATGCATCAAGGAGTTAATCTCTACTACTATTGACCAAGTAAGAGAAACAGAAATTCACCATGATAGAGATAGGGTCAGGCAACCAACAATTTGCGCAATAGAGGGAGTTCCAGTCAGATCGAAAAATAGACGAGAGGATTCGTTTGCAGGAGCAGAGCAAGGATAATAGTACGTCGACGCTTCAATGGCCGGATTATCTTGTCATCGGTGTAATGCTGTCGATCTCAGCCGGCATCGGGATCTACTACCGATTCACCGGAGGCAGACAACGCACGGCCGAGGTTAAGCCCTTGGAAAATTAATTTCGCCACGGACGATCGAGTCGACATCCGAGTCCACGCCGCGAACGCCGCGCGATCCAATATACGTGATAAACTGCGTCCGAACAGCGCTCTATATGTTTGTACACACGTACATACACGTATATACGCCACAGAGCTGGCACGTTCTTAGATCACGACAGAGACCCGGCCTCAGATTCCCTGTCTCAGATCTTTCACCGTTATCGCGCCGATCGATCCAGCTACGCGATAAATGTTGCCATCGACACAAATTGCCAACTATCGAGCACGGTATTTAATTTATCGGGGCGAGGGGAGTGTGGAGGGGGGGGGGGGGTAGGAGAGAAGGGGTGGCTAGCCGCGAGCCAACCTCCGCCAATAACCGCAAAGACAGAACGTTAATTAACGTTGAAACGTTATTACGAATCGAGTCGTTACGGTGAAGACCGCGGGTAAAATTGTCCACTCGATCGGAGCGGAGCACACGATCGATCGGACGATAATAACGATACAGAGGATTAATAGGCAGGTTTCCTGTTTCTCTTCCGCCACGATCGAGACCGATAGCCCGGAGGAATTTTCACTTTAGATCCGGAATCTTCTTTGTCGTTGGCCAATTAGTGGTGGAGCTAACAGATTGACACAACCGGATTTTTCGGATTGTTTCTTTGACACGAGTGTTTTTTTAATTGCTTCAAAGAGAAATTAAGATCTCGATTGATGTTCGTTTCTGGGATTCTTTTCTCGTCGGAGATGCCTTTATTTTATTATAGTTGGCTAAAAAGTAATTGCGTTTTCTTTTAATAAATGGACGTATATGTAACTGAGTTTATTCTGCAATCTGATAAACGATCGTTCAAGCTTGTTTTAGGAAAAGGAAACGTACGATCTCGTTAACGATTGCTTGTCTGGCAATTTCAAAATGGGACATCTTCGTCACATTTTGCTCTGCTACTCCCGAAAAGGAAAAGAACGTTGTGCAAGCTCATAAAAAATTATATGACAAAGTTTAAAACCGAGAACAGAGAATTGGTTTACTAAATTTCACTACTGATGTCAAATCGTTCTTGTCGAAAAAGATAAGAAGATCGAAGTTGACTGAAAATTAGCAAAATGAAGAATACATTGTCTAACAAAGTTTTTTTTGTACACGTACAAAACGAACGCAGTTACTTTTTGGCAATAGCGAATAAACAACGTTTGTCGCGACGTGTTGTTAGCAACTGATTGCTTCGTCCATAAATGCTAACAATGTTTCGTGATCATTATCGACAGGAGTACTTCTCAGCGAATCGATCGATGGGCGTCGTTCCTTTAGCGATCGCGTTGACGGTGTCTTTCATGTCAGCGATCACGCTGCTAGGGATCAGCGCGGAAACTTACACACACGGCATGAAAATCGTGCTGCTGTATCTGGGTGGTTTGCTCGGCACCCCGGTCGTCTTGTACCTTTACCTTCCTGTTTTCGCCAAACTCAACAGCATGAGCGTCTACGAGGTATATAATTTCTCAACTCGTATCCAACTCAAGTCTCTTGCTAACAATAAACTCAAAAGTTACCGGCTTCCCTGCCTTTTAGTATTTAGAGAAACGATTCGGAGTAGCAGCACGACTAGTGACCAGCACAGCCAACTTCCTGCAGCTGCTTTTGTACACCGGAGTGGTATTGTTCGCGCCTTCGCTGGCACTCGAAGCGACCACCGGCCTATCGGGGAACATGAGCGTGTTGCTGATCGGTTTGATTTGCACCTTCTACTCGACCGTGGGTGGTATCAAGGCTGTCCTCATCACCGACGTGTTCCAAGGGATACTGATGTTCGCTGGAGTCGCTTGCGTCCTCGCCGTCGCCGTTGACGACCTCGACGGAGGTTTGTCGAACGTGTGGAGCATCGGCCAAGATGGCGGTCGAATAGAATTTTTCGAGTAAGAACGCCAAAACGAATACGAACTTCGTTCGTGAATGCTGGCCTTTGTTTGAAGATTTGTTGGCTTCTTCAGTTTCAGTATCGATCCAACTGTGAGACACTCCACGTGGGCGTTGGCGATCGGTGGCACTAGCATGTTTCTGTCTTTGTACGCGGTGAACCAGGTTCAAGTTCAACGCTTGCTCACTGCCAAGTACGCGTTGTTGATCATTCGTGAAATAATCAGCTCGAGATCGATTGCCTGGACACTCAGTCACGCGACGTCTCTTCTCAGCGGTTGAACGTTCAAAATTGATATTCCATGACCATGGCAAATTAGAAGCATAGAAACTGTTCAGTCTTTGGTCTCGAGTACCTTTATCAACCGATTTGAATTTCACGCAGAACCTAACTCCCTCTCCTCCTTTGTTTCTTTCTCTATCGCCAGGAGTATCAAAGCTTCGCATCACGCGCTTTTTCTCAGCGGTCCAATCACTATACTTCTCGGCAGTCTGACGGCCTACTGCGGCCTGGTTCTGTACGCGGTGTACAGGTACTGTGATCCGGTCACGTCCGGCAAAATCTCCAGCTTCGACAAGATAATGCCGTATTTCGCAGCGGAGAGAATGTCACGGGTGCCAGGCGTCACCGGCCTCTTCATATCCGGTGTGTTCAGCGCCAGCCTCAGCACCATATCCGCCATGTTGAACTCTCTGTCGGCCGTAGCTTTGGAAGACTACGTGAAACCCGCGTGCCGTAAATTCGGCAAGGAATTCCCGGAAGAGAAAGCCACGCTGATCGGCAAATTTCTAGGCGTGTTGAACGGTTTCTTGTGCCTGGCCGTGGCTTTTATCGCGAAGTCGATGGGATCGTTGGTCGAGGCTGCCGTCGGGATCTCCGGAGCGATCGGTGGACCAATTCTGGGAATTTTTACGCTAGGAATGTTCGTCGAGAGGGCGAATCAAACCGGAGCTATTGTTGGGATCGTTACAGCCTTGGTCACGTGCGTCTGGGCAGCGTTTGGACAGCCAAAGCCAAGGACTTCTCTTCTCCCGCTATCTGTGGAAGGCTGTGGCAATTCCACAATGTTCGTGCAATATCAAAACGCCACTTTGCCCGAAAAGTAAGTTTCTTGCCTGCTTGTTATCGCCGTGCGAGAGCCGGAGTAAAACCGACGCTGTAAAATGGTTTCACGTGTTTGTTCTCGTTTTCGGCGAGGAAAACCGAACGTTTAATAGGCGGAAACGGCAATTTTTCCAGAGTCAAATTAGAGAACTGTTGCTATTACTTGCGCTCTGTTATCGAGTTTGTTGGCTCCCTTTGATCCACGAACGCAATGATTACAGAGTTAAAAAAAGAGAGAGAGAGAGAGAGAGAGAGAACGTTCTCTCGTTTTGCGAATAAAAGCACAGGTTGCTTTCTTTCGTGTTCGCCTGCTGCCCTTTACGTGAAATGAAACTACGTGTCCGTAATTTATGCCTCAGACGATTATAAAGAAGCGTACGAACAATTTCTTTCTCGACGTTCCTCTGTTTTTGAAAAAAAAGCACAGGCAGTTTATTAATTAACAAACTTTTTACGGTATAACCTAGTTTATAAGATCAGAAAGGATATATTAATAGCCTTCCCTTCTAAGAGGGTCTTTTTCTAAAATCGTTCACGGTAAATTTTTTCAACACTAAATTCTTTCAACTCAAAGAAATTCATTCATTAATTTGAAACTAAAAGAGTTAGAATAAGATACTTTCGATAGCATCGTCTACTTTATAAAATCAACTATGACACTAATAATAATAAATAGTTTCCAGAAACTATTTCTACTTCAAGTTGCTAGAATAGAATTTTTTTTTTCTTTCTTCAAAAACTAAACTGAATCAGGAATAAATTATTTATCTAGAACGCGAAGCAGATTCTAAGAATGCTTCAGCTGCAGTTTTCCCGTCGATCATTTTTTCCATCCATTCAAACTTCTAAAAACATTTCTCGTTTCATCGAGATTCCTTTCCGGTAGGAATATTGCGCACACGTGTTACCAGTCGAATCTCTCTTTTTCTCTCTCTCTCTCTCTCTGGAAACGTTATTACAGCAAAAAAGCGAGTGAAAACGTCGAGCTAGAAAACGCGAACAGATCGTAAGCATCCCCGTTCTGTTGATCGTTATTTCCTCCAGGCATAATCGATGCATCCGTAGCGATCCGCAGTCGCGACGAATTCATCGAAAACGGAAGATCACGTTGCCGGGGCAACGTGTTTTCGTTATGTACCGAAAGTACATATGATCGGTACACGAATGCAGCGATCGAGTCTCTCTAGGATACGTGTTATCCTAGATCATGGGCGTGGAACGACTCCGCTGTTAGGCTGTGGTACTCTCGGTTAAGAAGCAACGATTACTTCCCGATTTCTTTCGACTGGAGTGCCGCTTTCACGAGCGGCTCGCTCCTCATCGTTTCCCACGATAGTAACTAACGTTAATTACGCGTTAATAAACCGTGATTACGGCCACTTTTAAAATCCCTGCCGCGTTCCAGAATCGCATACGATATTGCTTTCTCCTCTGCAGCACGCCTCTAACCTACTCTGTCCTGTTCACCGTCTTTCTCTTCGATTTGTTCGAAATACTGTATCGACGCTCGATACAGTTATTCAATTTCTGTCATCGTTCGAGTTTGAAGGAATCGTAGTATCAGTGATGGAAATATAGAGAGTTTTCTTCAACACGAGGTCTTACGTTCTTGGTCAGTCTCTTTTGTTATTTTATTTATCAGAGTTTCGAGTCCTAATTTGGAAATCAAAGTTCGACATTTTTCTATACCTTGATAGTAAACTGACACACAGATCATCATAAAAAATTCTCTTGGAACTTTCCAAGTTTTATCAGAGTCAGAGTTCCTAATGATTTCGTTTCAATTTTCAGCCCGGTGGACGACTCCTCGTACTTTTATCTGTATCGTATATCGTACCTGTGGTACAACCCGCTTGGACTGATAATCACGTTGATCATGGGTTACTTGATCAGCCTGATTACGAATAAGATACTTTACAAGAATGCTCGCGAGCTGGAGCCAAGCTTGTTCACTCCTCTCCTGGCCTCGCGGATCAGAAGACGAAGACAGGACGCGGATAAAACTACGAGCAGTCAGTTGTTCGTCCTGGAGAACAGAAGATGAGACGAAGAGCGATCGAAACGAGCGTAATGTCGATTGAGAGCAACGCGGATCGATCATCATTCCGAAATCACGTCAAAAGGAACTTGATTCAGCAAGATAGCGAGCAATTTCAACGAATGTTAAGAACGCCGTGACGAAGTGAAATTCGACGCTACATTTTCAGCATCCGTCCCGTAGACAAAATGATTTGCCTCAAGAACGAACGAAATAATTTATAAATTTATAGAAACCTGTATTTCGCGTAGTATCTACGGATACGTGTACGTCGTATCTTTTTCTACGATCAATTCTCTGCCAAGGAAAACATCTGTAAACTAATACTCATTAGCGAAGTAAACGCAAATCGAGTCACGCTGTATTTCGTAATTACTGGACGTTCCAATGATTCCATCAGTCAATTAGTTAACTCACTGCGCCACGTGCATAGTCGCCAGTGTAATTCGATCGAATTTTCTTTCAATTTGCACGAGTCGTTTCCGATCGGTAGAACGCGTGAAATTCGCCGGCTCTTTTCCTCAAGTGGTTCATTTGCAACTTAACGAGCGACGATTGGCCTGGAAAAGGATGTGAGCTATCCACGGATGAAGCTGTCCAAGCATCTGGGTCACAGGGACGACCGGATTACGTACGCGCGATAACTCTCGCGTTCGTATCGCTTTGGCCAAACTCCGGGAAAAATGGCCACGGTGATTCAAATAATCTGGTGATTATTCTTGACCAGACGATTCGACGCGCACCACCCACGGCAACACGTTTAATTAAACCTCATTCTCCGCGATGCGTTATCACGCCACACTGTCCAATAGCAGTGAAAGACGCGCAATAAAGGATAATTGATTCTTTCAGCGAGAGCGGCCGGCCGTTTCATTAAATTTCACGCCGAAAAACGATCATCCTCGCAGTGGCGCGACGCTGCATCCTCTCTTTCGCTTTGTCTTCTCGCTTTGTTGCACTGCGCGTGAATATCGAACGCGTTTCCCCACGTCGTTCCCCCGTTGTTTGCGGAAGCGGAATTGCCGCAATTTATCGCGTAATTGTCTCCGACGGCACGACGGCTGGGAAAGACTTTATAATTCGTTTTAATTGCAGTTGGTTCGGCTCATTGTGTCTGTGAATTCGAGACGAATCTCGCGTAAAACACGGGAAAACGCTCCGTCACGGGGACACGCGAAACGCGACGAGTTTCGTTTATGTTCGGAGAGCGAACGTAACGGCGTCACACGTGTATGGCGGAGAATTAAAAGTTCGAATTAAAAGCCCGCGGCGCTTCTGCACGTGTTGACGGAAACGTGTCGGCTGGTACACACGGCGCAACGATATTTTTTTCCCCCGAATAAAAATAACAGCCGCTCCCCTGCCCCCCTCATGCGACCAATCGATTACTTTCCTGCCGGCGTGCCGGTGTTTCGTACGCGTCATCGATCAGCGAAATTTTCGTGGGACACGTGCGCACGTTCGACCACGTAAATTTCCCTGGCACCGCCAAGAAGAGGTGGCCGTTTGTTGATACTGGCGCGCCCATCAAACGGATGACCCTTTAAAAAAAAAGGAAAAAAGATGAAACACGCGTGAGAACGTTCACGTATGTTCGTAGTACTCGATAGGCTGGTTCGAGCGGGCCCCTATCTCTCGTTAAAGTTAGGCGATCGAGAGAGTGGTTGTTGCTTCGCTGCTGATGCGAGAAAATTGTTACGAGCGAAGCTTCCAACATTACTCGAAATTTCAATTGCGTTCTGCTCTTTCATTTCTAACCCTCCTCAAACGGATACTACGCTTTGCTAAGGATTCGCTATTCGCGCAATCGGAAACTGAAAATACTCCATTTATAGCTATCAAAAGTCGAAGTGATTCTTACTTTCGTCCGGCTGCTACTGAATCCTTCGTTTCCTATTCGTCCCGTTCCTATTTGACTGCGTTATTAAACGCTGAAACCCGAGAGGAACGTGCTTTCATTCGCTGGTATTTAATTTCAAACTTGACAGAGAAGAAACACGAATAAAACGCGGACTTTCCTGTTAGCTCTTCTACTCCAATGTCGCAAGGAGGACAAGCGTTCCTCCTCGCAAATACTGCAAAAGTCACGGGTTGAAAGTAGACGAGAAGATTCGCGAGAGAGTTTCTGAGATCAACGTGAAACAAACACCCGACGATCGTCCCGCGTAGAAACGCATTTGCATTCGACCAGGTTGATTAACGAACGGTCTACGAAGCGAACGTTTCACCGTCGAAATCTGCGCGACATTCGCGTGGCAATGTTGCTCGCGTTCGCGCATCGAAGCGTCATTTCCATGAGATTTAATTGCATACCGCGGTACCACGTTTAGTTCACCTCCGGGTGGAACTAAAAGCGGCTCGTGTTTTCTCAATAGGAGAACAACGTTGGTCGCGTTCGCCAAGATCACGCGATCACGACGAGTCGAGCTTTACACGCTTCCTGGACGCTGTAAATCTGCCACCCACGAAGAGAGTCAATGTTTCGGAAGATGCAACCTAGAAAAGCACTCTGATTGTTCGTGGAGCGTCCTTTCTCCTCGTGGAAAATTCACTGCGTTCTTCCGGATGGTACGGATGTCCGCGCAATCACCGCTTCACCTTCTCTCTTCGATCGCACGCAGCGTTGACAGTTGAAATTCCAAAATTTCTTTGGATTAACGGCGACTTTTTTTCGTCGAAATTAATACAATTTAATTTTTCTAATCTCTCGCTATATATGTTTTAATATACTGTACATTTGATATTTTCTATTTTATATTATACATTCTACTCGATTAGAGTAGTCTTCTATTTTTTCGTCGGAATTAATGCAATTGAATTTTTCTAATCTTTCGCTATATATTTTAATATATTCCCTATTCTATATTCCACGTACTCTACATTTAATATAAACATAAAATATTCCATTCCATATTCTATTTATGTATTTAATATACTTTCTAATTCGAGTGGAACTCTCGTTCACCGCAGCTTCTCAACAGCGACTAAATTTCTCAATTTTAAACTCAAATGTGCGAAAAGAAGATCTGACCGAGGCTGTTCGGATTTCCACGGAGGAGAGGGGGGGGGGGGAGAGAGAGTCTTTTAACTGTTGCTGCTACGAGCGTTCTTCTTTTTAAAGAAGGATTCCAAGCGCAACGACTCGGAAATGACTCTCGAAAGCAGATCAGAAACGAGAGCCGAGAAGAGTGGCTGCGAGCGATCTCGAACGATCTCGAGCAGAAGCAGCGTGCCCAGCGTTCTCGTTGCGTGACCACGGTTGTAAAACGGAACAATGCTTCGATCGAGGTCGATAAATCGAACACCTCGCTGGGCGCAACAAACCACGCCGACAAAGTACGAACGAACGAACGAACGCGCCCGACGAACAAGCGCGGGAGGGCAATAAGATCGCGGCAGATGCGAGTATCAGCTGCACGGCCAGGGGCGGATGGGATATCGTTGCTGCTTCGCCTTTCACGAAACTCTCTGCTCGATCCATCACGAAGTCAACCGAAAAACGGGCATCCAGCTCGCTCGGAAATACACACTCCGGTATTTACTCGAGAGCGTTATTAACAGTGTTGCGCGTTACGTGTTCAAACATCTTTGCTCGACACGTTTCCAATTAACGTTTTTAACGAATAATTCATGTCTGTAACGCGATCCTGTTGCAACTGTGGGAAAAGTTCAACTAACGGCTTCCTATGAAAATTACACTCCAAAACCAGGGATAAAACTTTCTCACAGATGTATGACACAAGTGCTGATTTGTAGATTTTGTAGACAGAGTTGGAAGAAAGTTTGTGCTACGAACGACGATCAGATACAGAATGGATATATATACATATATTGATTACTCCCCCGTTGATGAAAATACGACCGATTAAATGAAAATAAAACCAATGCGCACGATGTATTTCTCTTATCGCGCCATTAATATCGAGTTGAACAGACCGGATTTCGAATGCAAATCGCGCAAAAATTACAACATGAATTCCCAAATAAATTGCCCGGAGTAACTTTATCCTATTCCCGCGTCGTCAACAACGCGCGGAAAACACCGTTTTGTAATCTCTCGATACACCAGCAAAGACAAGTTCCAATTAAATCGCAGCTACCTGAAAATTCCAGCAACGAAATGGTTAGGATTCCACAACTCCAGGTGCGGAAGCGTAGTGGTTCGCGCAGGCACGTGGAAAAAAACGCAAGAAAAGGTCGCGGGAAGAACCAGACAGATAACCGAGGAAAAGAGGGAAGCTGCAAACGGCTGCAAACATCAGCAAACGCTAGGACCAGGCCGAAAAGAATGCCAGGCCTGGTCGTATCCCGGGTCTTGCACGATAACCTATGCAAAAGACAGTTCGTGAGCGAGCGTACGGAGCTTCTTCTTCTTCTTCTTCCTCTTCTTCTTCTTCTTCTTCTTCTTCTTCTTCACGGAATTCACGATACAGCCGGCTATGCATTATAGGGAATACGATATCCATCTTGCGTCAGATGCACGGTGGATCTTATGGCCGCGGCGGCACCTACCCGCCGCAAAACGAGCAAAAACACAAAGGCGACTTATGTCCGAGAGAGAGAAGTATCAAGAAGCGGCCGTCGTTTTCGTCGTGGCACGTTGTACGTTGTACGTTGTATGTTGTTGAACGGTTCGGCTCCCTCGTCGGCCGGACGACTCAACCGCAAAACCACCCAGTGAACCCACCTCTTGTCCCGACCTTCGCGCCGGAGAGGTACAAGAAGCCACACACGGCCGTCGCTGTCTCCAACTGCTGCTAACGGTCCAGACTTTGCGGATTTACCGACAGCCGTGTGAAACGATCAGCGATCGTTGGAACCGCGACTGTCCCAGCTTCCGTGATACGAGAACGCAACGAGAGAGTGCAACGTTTCGGCTGAGTTTACTCGCTGGCTTCCGTGTTTGCTCCCAAATTGCTCCAAATTTGCAAGTTTAAGCGGCTCGATCCCCGCGGATCGGAGATTTAACCCCTTGCGACACGATTCAGATTGATGAAAAGGTAATTAATAGAAAGTTGAAGCAAAGTTTGCTGTGCGAAGGTAAAATATAAATTCTGTTATTAGAATTTACGTTCAACTGATAGAAATTTCCTCTGCACCTTAAGAGTTTGCGAGGAAAAAATCCCTCAATTTTAATAACAAATTCTCTGCTGAAACGTTCAATCCAAATCCGAATCTACCTAAATTCAAATCATATCTCCACTATCGGAAGTAGCATCGACAAGCGCAAACGCTGTTCTCCATCGTTTGCCGTACCGCGTCAAACAACGAAAATCAAACAACGAACAAAAGTATCGGCATGATTTGACAATGTGCATGCTCGCCCGAACGATTCTCGCTGGACGAACTGGTA